CTCTTGAGAGGGAAGCACTGCCCCACCGCCGCCTGCAGCTTCTGGCGCAAGGAGCGGCCCACCGCTTTGCCGACAGGCTCCGGCGACCCCGAGGCCCCGTCTGCTTCCGCTTCCGGCGGCGAAAGGCTCTGCCTCTCCAGGGATCGGCTCGCTCGGGCTCGCCAGCGGCTGGCGGGACGGGCGCCGGGAGCCGCATCTTGCTTGGCTTTTGGCCGGGCGCCCCCCTCCTGCGACATGGCCCCACGGGGGGAGGAGCTAGAGGGAAAGAGCATCTTGCAGGCGCACAGGGAGGTGGACATGGATGCGCTGAGGGAAGCACATGGTAGCGGCGTCGGCGTGGGAAGCGGGACCTGGGCAAGGGAAGAGAGAGCCCGTGTTAGAAACTCGGGTAACATAAGCTAGGCAACAAATAATTATTATTATTTATATAAGTAAAGGTAAAGGGACCCCTGCCCGTACGGGCCAGTCTTGACATACTCTGGGGTTGTGTGCCCATCTCACTCAAGAGGCCAGGGGCCAGCGCTGTCCGGAGACACTTCCGGGTCATGTGGCCAGCGTGACAAGCTGCATCTGGCAAGCCAGAGCCGCACACGGAAACGCCGTTTACCTTCCCGCTGGTAAGCAGGTCCCTATTTATCTACTTGCACCCGGGGGTGCTTTTGAACTGCTAGGTTGGCAGGCGCTGGGACCGAACGACGGGAGCACACCCCGCCGCAGGGATTCGAACCGCCGACCATGCGATCGGCAAGTCCTAGGCGCTGAGGTTTTACCCACAGCGCCACCCGCGTCCCATTATATATATATATATATATATATATATGCAGGTTTTGGTGTCCTCGGGTGTCTTCCCCGTGTAAAAGTTGGGGTGTCTAGGCGACGTTTCGACGAGGTCTCACTCGTCATCTTCAGGCTGGTGCTTTCGGCTTCTTGTTACTGGAACAGAGCAGGATCTCAGTGTTTGAGTTCCTATAAATACTGTTGAGGGGGTGTGGTGTATAGCCTCCAATGTTCTGGGCAGAGAGGAAGTTCCCAGGCTAGTGTGCCTTTTCTTCTTTTGTTCCTTAATTACTTGAGGGATATCTTGAGTGATTTCTTGAGTGATATTCTGAGTACCACTTAGGTGGGTCATTAGGTGTGGATTAGTTGCTAAAGCCTTCGTGTCTTGACCTCTTGAGCTTTGTGAAGAGTTTTTCTGAGAAGATGGCTGTACTGCACTTAGTTGTGCTCTGGCTTGGCTTCGTGTATAGGGGCTTAGTCATGCTGGCCACGTGACCTGGAAGCTGTACACCGGCTCCTTCGGCCGATAAAGCAGGATGAGCACCGCAACCCCAGTCAGGGGTCCCTTTACCTTTAGAGTATCGGTCTAGGGCCTGGGAGAGCCATGAAACTCACTGGGTGTGACTTTGGGGGCCAGCCGCTGCTTCTCAACCTCACCTACCTCACAGGGTCGTCGTCGTGGGATTAAAGGAAGGAAGGGGAGAACCACGGAGGAAAGGCAGGGTATAAATGCAACAGAGACAAAATCCCTCTGCTGCCCATCGCAGCCCCCTACTCCCCATCAGACCATCCCAAGTTGGGGTGAGCTTACGGTTGCAAATGGGGTTCCTTGTCCTGTTCGGCTCATCCATTAACCAGGTGTTGGAAGCAGGTAAAGGCGTCTCTCTTCTTCCTCGCACGGAGCACCTGAGCAGGACAGAAAGAAGACCGCAGTTGGGGAACAAAGAGACAGCAACAGGTGTCTCAATACCTCCTCAATACTCCATTTATAGACCACCTTCCTGCCACATTTCTTAGATTTTCGCCCCCTTTTGCCTTCACAAGAGGTTGCTCTCTAGGTCTGCTAGGAAAGGCAAATAACAGGAGAGGATAAACGAACTCAGGTGCTTTTGACACCTTTTCTTCCAAGGACCACAAGGCAGCAAACGCGGTTCTCCCACTCATTTTGTCCCCGCAAAGACCCTGTGAGGTTGCGAGGCGGCGACTGGCACTCAAAATCTTCCAGGGAGCTCCATGGCCAAGTGGGGGATTTGAACCCTGGTTCCTACGACGTCGTAACCCGAAACTTTAACCTCCATGCCGCAGAACTCCTTTCTTTAGGGTACCTGAGTGAGGCTGGGGGAAGCAGCTCACCTGTGGGCCTCTGGGCGTGTGCAGAGCGCCGGACCCTCTCCGCCTTTCCGCAGCTAGGATCGGCGCTTCAAATGCAGCGGCGAGGCTTGGCGCAGGGCTCCCCAGAGGCGCACCCCGAAACCCGACGCACCTTCCTGCTCACACCCCGCATTCCTCATCTCCGCCTCACCGCTCCATCCACCCAAGGGCCTCGCCCGCGGGAGGCACTCTGCACATGCTCAGAGCACCCAAAAGGGAACCCCCGCGCCTCCATCCACCTCCCAGGCCTCTCCAAGGCGCCCGAGCGCACCGTGCGCCCTGCTGCGCGCCCCTTACCGGCCGGCGACCCCGGAGGTCTCCTTCCTCTCCGAGGTTCTGGAGGCGCACGGAGAGCCCCGGAACCTCTCCGCCTCCCCAGGCCGCTGGATCTCCGGCTCCCCGGAAGACCCGCGCGTCCAGGCGCGCTCGCCCTGCCCCGATCGAGACCGCTTCCTGGGTGGCGTCCGGGAAGCGACGAGAGACGCGAAGGCAGCGAGAGCGCGCCGCCTGCCTGCCTGCCTGGCGCAGCGCCGCCACCTGCCGCCGGAGGAGACGCAGGAGAAACCTCGGGCGGGCACGCGCCTTGGAGAGCGCCCTCGCCCCGCCCAGGCAGCCCAGAAGGACCCAGGAGTCCGGGCTGGCGGGGGACCCTTTTGGAACGCAGAGCGGCTGGACCAATTCTTGCGCCATCATCTTGGAAAGGCAGGCTTTCTGTAGCCCAAGATGATGGCGCAAGAATTGGTCCAGCCGCTCTGCGTTCCAAAAGGGTCCCTCGCCAGCCCGGACTCCTGGGTCCTTCTGGGCTGCCTGGGCGGGGCGAGGGCGCTCTCCAAAGCGCGTGCCCGTCCGAGGGGGGGGGACCGATCCCCAGTTTGCTCCCCACCCACCACCTTTTAAAATTCCTTCCTTCCTAACGCGCGCCACCTTTTCTTTCCATCAAACGCAAAAGGCCGGCGCGCCATGGCCTTGGGGTTCTTTGCGATGGCAGAGCGGGGCAGAGACTCAAAGAGGGTGGGAGAGGATAAAACTGGAAGTGAGACCACGCCCATGCGGGATTTATTTTTTACTTTTATTTCATAGAATTCAAAAGCCCTCAAAGCGGTTTACAAAGAAGACGGACAAAATCGTCAGTGAGAAAAATTGAGAGAGATGCCTTGAACTCCAGCGTCACCCCACTGCGGGGGACGTTAGGACTCCTTCCATGCAGACGGAAGGTGTAAATAGGTGAATCAACCAAATTTCTTAAAAGCTAGGACTGCCTCCGCAGTCAAAGGAACACAGCCATATTTACTTGAACCTGGATAGATCCAGAACACCATCTGGTTCTCCTAGCCCCTTTCTGAAAGTCTTCCCCAAAATGCCAGGTTCTGAATATTCTTCAGCTGTTCCCAAAACATCTCCAGCCATTTGCAAAATATGCAATACGGGCCTTGCAGAGCGGAGAAATTAGTTGCATTACACTGCTTCCTTCTGTTCAGATTGTGCTCTCCTAAAAAAACAACCCCTAGATCAGTGTTCCTCAAACTTTTCCCCCCTCTGGGCCAAACTTTCAGAATAAAAATTTGCACCAGAATTTTTTTAATGGAAAATAAATACATTGAAAAACTCATCTAGGGTTCTTCTCAGTATCACTTCCTGCACAGGGAAACATTTTTTTATACTATATAACATGGAAATGTCTAAATGTTTCCTTGATTATCCTTGAATCTTCCTGCCCCATTGCCATCCTCTCCTGCCCCACCCTTTGAGAACCCCTGTCCTAGATCATTTCCACAAGCGCTGCTACCAAGACACTTGCTATCCTGACTCTTCCGGCCCAAATGCAGAACTTCACACCGATTTCTGCTGAAGACACGAGTTTTGTTCTGGGTTCTCCAATCCTGCCCGAAGCATCTCGAATGCTGTTGCCGAGTTTTACCAGCTCTCCCTCTCTGATCGGTGCCATCGGGCAAGCTTGACAATCACCCTCTCCCCTCCTTCATCCAAGTTTATAAAGCCCTGAACAACCTGGCTCCAGGGTGCCTATAAGGGATCGCCTGAACCCTTATAGATCCCATCTCAATCACCGAGATCCACAGGAGTGTTGTTTGCATTCCCCAAGTTCGCGAGAGTCACTTGACAACAAGAAACGCTTTGGTGCTGTTGGCCCAGTCCTGTGGAACTCTCTGCCACTGGATATTCAGCAGGTGCCTTCTGTGCCAACTGTTAAAACACGTGCTGAATTCCCTTCTATTCCACCAGGCCTATGCAGGCAATTAAGGACAATAACCTTCCATGATGGTTTTCTGATGGCCTGCATTTAACTTTTTATGACTTTAGAGCAGGCATCCCCAGCCTTCGGCCCTCCAGATGTTTTGGGACTACAACTCCCATCATCCCTGACCACTGGTCCTGTTAGCTAGGGATCATGGGAGTTGTAGTCGCAACACGTCTGGAGAGCCAAAGGTTGGGGATGCCTGCTTTAGAGGATGGCTTTATTGCTGTATTCCGATTTGATGAATTTTTACGAAAGAGCGGTAGGCAAATATTTTCCGAAATACAGTGGTACCTCTGGTTGCGAACAGGATCCATTCCGGAGGTCCGTTCACAACCTGAACAGAATGCAGCCCGCATCTGCGCGTGCATGGGTCATGATTCGCCGCTTCTGCGCATGCGCGTGACGTCATTTTGCGCATCTGCGCATGCGCGAGCAGCGAAACCCAGAAATAACCCTTTCCGGTACTTCCGGGACGCCGCGGGACACAAGCTGAAAACGCTCAACCTGAAGCAAACGTAACATGAGGTATGGCTGTAAATAAGTACACTTGTCCCAGTGATGTTGCAAGTGGCCCTGATTAACGAGAGAGTGGAGATTCAAGAAGCAAAAAACTTTATTTTGGGGTGGGTTAGAGAGCGAGCTGCCGTGTGGCGCATTATGTACAGTGGGGGGCGGAGAACAACACAAGAAGGGGAGCCAAAGAACCAAAGGCGTGTGAGTCTGTGTCCCACCGCACACCCCAAACGCCAGTCGTTTCTGCAGAAGGTTCGCAGCAGAGTTCGCTGGCGGAGGCGGAAGATCAGCAGAAACGGGTGGCGGGGAGGCAGCCCTCCGATCCGCCTCGTCCGCCGGGAGGAAAGAAAATTCCCAGAATCCTCTGGGCTTAACTGGGACAAAGCTGCCAGCCAAGGTAAGTACCGTCCGTTCCCAGGTGTGCTCCCCGCAGAAGAGGGATGTAGCCGACTTCCGAAAGGGCCTGCTCAGTCGCTGTCGCTGCCCTCTTCGCTGGACTCGGACGGGGCCTCGCTGGCGCTGGCCTCCCCTTCCTCTTCCTCCTCCTCCTCGTGGTTGGAGCGGTCCTCGCTGCCGCTGTGGAGGGGGCTCTGGCTGCTGGCGCGGCGCTGCTGGCGCCGGCCGCCCCCTTCCTCGTCCTCCTCGTCGTCGTCGTCCTCCTCGCTGCCGCTCTCGCCTTCGTCGCGCTGGCCCCCCTCCTGCTCCGAGTCCTCCTCCTCGTCGTCGTCGCTGCCGAAGATCTCCTCCTTGTCTCGGGCCGCCCGCTCGTCCTCCTCGCTCTCCTCGGCCGGAGCCCCCTCGCCTTCACTGGCCTCCCGCTCGCTCTCGCTGGCCGAGCGCCCTTCCTCCTCCTCCTCGCCCTCCTCCGCCTCGCTGGCCTCCTTCTCGCTCTCGCTGCCTTTCTCCGGCTCCTCGTCTAGGGCGAGCGGGAAAAGGAGAGAGGTGAGCACACGGACAGGGGGAAAACGGGGGAAAGCTTGGCTTTTCAGGGGGACCGATTGCGGTTCTTCCGAAGGAGATCAAGGTGGCAGTACGTGACTCTTCCCCCTCATTTAATCCCACAACAACAACCCTTTGAGGTAGGGTATGGGCTGAGAGAAGCAGTGGCTATTCCCCCCCCCCCTTGGGGGCCACAGGGTAAGCTTCATGGCCAACAGAGAGGATTTGAACCCTGCTCTCTCCTCACCCAATGCTCTAGCTCAGCCTTTCTCAACCTGTGGGTCCCCAGATGTTGTTGAACTACAACTCCCATCACCCCTAGCTAGCAAGGCCAGAGCTCAGGGATGATGGGAGTTGTAGTCCAACAACATCTGGGGACCCTAAAGCGGGAGGACGGGCCAGGGCCACCCGTTTATAGTTTTTTATTAAGTTGTACAGTTTTATATTCAACACACTCATTTTTATCACAAAATGTATATATAAATCCCTATCCCCTTCACCCATGACTTCCCTCAACTTCCTCTTCTGGTTCCTTATTTACTTCTCCTGCCTGTTTTATTCTACCTTAATTTTATAATCTCTTAATTTGATATTGTTACAATCTTATCGCTTTTGTACCATACTTTTCCATATTACATCTTGCCCTTTATTATTTCCCCATTATTACATCTTGACTTATGCTTGTTTTCTTAATTGTGTTTACTCAAACCCTTAGTGAGTCCACTTCTTTACAATATTTCTGCAAACTCAACATACAGGGGACACTCATGTTGTGAACGTGATCTGTGCAGGATGCACGTTCACAACCTGCAGCGGCGCATCTGCGCACGTTGCGATTCGGTGCTTCTGCACATGTGCAAAGTGAGATTTAGCGCTTCTGCACACGTGCGACCGCCAAAACCCGGAAGTAACCTGTTTCGGTGCTTCCAGGTTTTGGCAGTCCGTAACCCCCCCAAAAAACCTGCAACCTGATGTTCTGTAACTCAAGGTATAACTGTATACGGTTCCCATACCTTTAAATGAAGAGGGTATCAATGGAAGGCAGGGCCTCCCCCTTTAAGAAACAGGGATGCCGCTGAGCCAGCCAATGAGGCAACAGCGAGGGAGCTGCTTTGGAATGTTCCACCAGGTGCCAAAAAGCAGGGGGCGTTCTTTAAAGCAGAGGCTGCAAATTTCACAATGTGGCCGCTGGCCACACACATGCGCATCTTCAGCAGCGAGCAGGGAGGGCACCAGGGAGAGATTTTGCCAAGCCGGCACCTACCTGAGCCTTGGGCTTCTTTGCCCAGGTCCATCTCCTCCTCCTCCTCCTCTTCCGGCTCGTGGTTCTCCAGCTGGGCTTTGCGGGCTTCCTGCAAGGGGACAGAGCTGCGAGTTAGGGGGCATTTGGGGAAGGAGAAATCGCCCCCGCTGACTCCCAGCAACTCCACTGGCCTTCCTGCCCCCCCCCCCCGGTATAGATTGCTTCGGAACATGGAGGCTCGACAGAACTGCCATGGCCAAAATTGTTTTTGGAACTTAGGAACCCCAAAGGTACCAGTGAGCAGAGGCACCTTCCTTCCCAGGGGGCAGACTTTTGTCATCCGTCTCCCACCCCAAGTCCTCCTTTCCAGAGAATTTCGACCAGAAGAGAAGGCCTGGCCTTCAGAGATTGTGGTGCATCAGGCCCCAGGTGCCAAGGACCAAACTGGATTTCCATATCCCTAGTGGTGGCTGATATAGTTCAAGCTCTGGTTTTCCCAGTAGTGATGTACGGAAGTGAGAGCTGGGCCATAAAGAAGGCTGATTGCCGAAAAATGGATGCTTTTGAATTATAGTGCTGGAGGAGACTCTGGAGAGTCCCATGGACTGCAAGAAGATCAAACCTCTCCAATCTGAAGGAAATCAGCCCTGAGTGCTCACTGGAAGGACAGATCCTGAAGCTGAGGCTCCAAGACTTTGGCCACCTCATGAGAAGAGAAACTCCCTGGAAAAGACCCTGGTGTTGGGAAAGATGGAGGGCACAAGGAGAAGGGGACAACAGAGGACGAGATGGTGGGACAGTGTTCTCGAAGCTACCAGCATGAGTTTGACCAAACTGCGGGAGGCAGTGGGAGACAGGAGGGCCTGGGGTGCTCTGGTCCATGGGGTACTGAAGAGTCGGACATGACTAAACGACTAAACAACAAGACCAGTTCTGAGCCAGCTTTGGGGCCTTCCTCAGATAGTCCAAAGGGGGTTTCCTCTCTTCAATAAAAAAAAGCTCATCGTTTGATCTCTTACTCTTGCTGTCAATTTCCCCATTTCCCCCATAGTCCATTAATTTTAAGATCCATTCTTCCTTGGTTGCAACTTCTCCTTCCTCCCATTTCTGTGCATATAGGATTCTGGCTGCTGTTGTTGCGTACATAAATAGTTTGATCATCGTTTTTGGGACATTCGCCCCTATTTCCCCCAAAACATATTAAGGAGCGATAGCAGTTCTGACCCAGCTTTGGGGGCAAGCAGAACTTGGCTGTTGTCTTTGTCCATGGAGTTTTCTTGGCAGGGATACTGGAGTGGCTTGCTGGTTCCTCCTCCAGGTGGATCATGTTTGGTCAAAACTCTCCACTATGACCTGTCCATCTTGGGTGGCCCTGCACGGCATAGCTCATAGCTTCTCTGAGTTATTCAAGCCCCTTTGCCACGGCAAGGCAGTGATAAAGAAGGCTGATCGCCGAAGAATTGATGCTTTTGAATTCTGGTGCTGGAGGAGACTCTTGAGAGTCCCATGGACTGCAAGAAGATCCAACCTCTCCATTCTGAAGGAAATCAGCCCTGAGTGCTCACTGGAAGGACAGATCCTGAAGCTGAGGCTCCAAGACTTTGGCCACCTCATGAGAAGAGAAGACTCCCTGGAAAAGACCCTGATGTTGGGAAAGATGGAGGGCACAAGGAGAAGGGGACGGCAGAGGACGAGATGGTGGGACAGTGTTCTCGAAGCTACCAGCATGAGTTTGGCCAAACTGCGGGAGGCAGTGGAAGACAGGAGTGCCTGGCGTGCTCTGGTCCAGGGGGTCATGAAGAGTCGGACACGACTAAACGACTCAACAACAACAAGTGGTGGCCGATAGCCAGTGGTTTGCCTCTCCTCTCTCTAGGAATTAGTTCTAATTCCGTCAATGATCCTCGCTTCCAGTCAGCATCCGGCCAGCTCCAATGGCCAGAGGAGGGCAGTGAGACAGGGTGGAAACTCAAAGGAACATTTTTCTCATATGTGGTGGGAATGTAAGAAAGTAAAAAAAAACTTCTGGGAAATGATATATAACGAGTTGAAAAAGATGTTGGAATATACATTTCTAAAAAAAACAGAAGCATTTTTACTTGGCATTCTAGGTGAGGATATTAATAGACAGGATGTAAAATTTGTTTTTATATGCAACAACAGTGGCAAGAGTATTGTTAGCCCAGAAATGGAAGAAGAAATTCCGACGAAAGAAGAATGGCAGACGAAAATGACAGGAAGGATTCGAAACCTGCGGGACCGGAGATTTGCAGAAGATTGGAAGAAATATACGAATTATTTGAAGAGCAACTGTAATCAACAAATTACACTAGTAGGACTACAAGACGTTTTGTAAGGAGGAATGTATGAAATATTGCAAAGAGAAAGAAGAGAGATATTAGATATGAGACTTAAATGTAATAGTGAAGATAAGGAATGTAAATTAAATGAGTAGATTGGAAAATTTTCAGACGTGATTGATGGAAGTAAAAAAAAAATGTATAAAAGTATGTGTAATTATTGTTGAAAATGATATGTTGAAAAACTAATAAAAAAATTATTAAAAATAAGAAAAAAGAGATGGGGTGGAAGCTCAGAGCCAGGATTCCTGGGTCCCCTGGGCTTCTCCACGCCAGCCTTACCTGCGCCTCCAGCTCCTTCTCGTTCATATCTCGGTGCTTCACCACCAGAACGGCGTTGGTTCCCGACTGCACCCCGGCCTTGGCTCGCCTCTTGCTCAGCCGCACTCTGCGACGGGGAGGGAGAGGTTAAGGAGGGAGCAGGGGCCTGACTCTGTGCATACACACATGCCCTGGCGGCAGGATACAGCCCTCGGGTGCCGGTGGCGTGTTGCACAAAATTGGGGGCAGCGAGGGGCTGGTTGCATGCCGGGACCGCCTGCGCCGCTTAGCGGGGTCACAGTGGCGGCCAGCAGAGGGAACACAATGGGGTATCTCTGGGGAGGCCCTTGTTTCATAAATTCAAAGTATTGGAAGGGACGCCCAAAGGTCATCCAGCCCACCCCTGCGACGCAGGACTTGCAGCTCGGATGCAATATGCGCCGGGGGGAAAGGACTAAGAAGATGAGGTTGCTGGATCAGGCCCAGCTAGTCTCACAGTGGCCAAATACCCAAAATAACCTAGGAGTCTAGATAGACTGCCTCTGGACCTGGAGGTTCCATGAGATCCTAACATGCCCATTATGGGAAAGCCGCAAGGAGGATTTGAGTACAGGAGCAACTCTCCTATCCTGCCGTTTCCAGAAACTGGTGTTCAGAAGCATTTATCTGACCAGGGAGGCAGAGGCCCTATATGGCCTAGGACCCTCGTACCTACAGGACCGCCTTTCCTGGTATGTCCCACGGAGGACCTTACGGTCTTCAAACAAAAACATCCTGAAGGTCCCAGGCCACAGGGAGGTTAGGCTGGCCTCAACTAGGGCCAGGGCCTTTTCAGTATTGGCCCCGATCTGGCAGAACTCTCTGTCACAAGAGACTAAGGACCTGAGGGACTTGACGTCTTTCTGCAGGGCCTGTTCCGCCTGGCCTTTGGCCAAGGCACAGTCTGACCCCCTCCTTTGGTGATCCTCGTAGAACTCTGGCCCAATGGTTGCCATTAATTTGATTTTGAATTGATTTTAAAACGAATTGATTTTAGAATGCTGTGTTACTTTTATTGTTGTTAGCCGCTCTCAGCCCGGCTTCGGCTGAGGAGGGCAGGATATAAATAAAAATTTACTATTATTATTATTATAGCTATCATGGCAAGTAGCCACTGATATCTTTCTCTTCCTTCATAATTTGTTTTTGTTTTGCTTTTGTCCTTGTTTTCGTTATCTATTTTGTGCTTCTGTTTTGCATCTTCAGATAAAAGGCATTATACAAAGGGAGCAAACAAGAAGCAAGAACTACATAAATAAAAGTGCCTAATCCTGTTTGAAAGCCATCTATGTTGGTGGCCATCCCTGTCTCCTGTGGCAGGGAGTTCCACAGGTTAACCATGTGCTCAGTGGAGAAAGGAAAAAGGCTAGGCGGCTGCAGCTGGCCATGGCACCACCACCAACACCGTGCCCCGCCCCCAATAGCCCCAGACCCTTTAACCTGGAGGCTCCCCTGGCCACCAGCACACTTGCCCCCCCCCAAAAAAGGCTTCACTTTCTCCCTCCGCCTCACCTGGTCTCCAGTTCGTTGTAATAGACCCCGTCGCCCTCCCGGAAGATGAAGAAGTAGTTTTCTTCGTAGCCCTTGCTGGCTTTGTTCTTGACGTTCCAGTTGTATTCCCGGGCGATCTTGTACTCGTACCTGGAGGAAAGGGATAGAAAGAAAAGGGTGAGGGCTTTGCAGCACCCCAATATTCATTCCGAGGTGTTCTCCTGCCCCCTTCCAATAATCCCATCGGCTGAGAGCGCAAAAGGTTCTACCCAGGCTCCTTCAAAATATAAGCACAGAACTGTCATCTAGTCCAATGCAGGAATCACAACTGAATCCCCGACAGATGGCCATCCAACCTCTGTTTAAAAACTGCCAAGGAAGGAGAATCAGAGGCCGTTCTTCTGTTGAACAGCCCTTGCTGTCAGAAGGTCCTCCCCAAGGTTGGTGGTGCTATCGCTTTTAGTGTTCTTTGATTCCTTTAGGCAGCAATCCTTGGATGTCAAAGTGATGGCAACACAAATTTACCGTATTTTTTGCTCTGTAAGACTCACTTTTCCCCTCCTAAAAAGTAAGGGGAAATGTGTGCGCGTCTTATGGGGCGAATGCAGGCTGCGCAGCTATCCCAGAAGCCAGAACAGCAAGAGGGATTGCTGCTTTCGCTGCGCAGCGATCCCTCTTGTTGTTCTGGCTTCTGAGATTCAGAATATTTTATTTCTCGTTTTCCTCCTCCAAAAACTAGGTGCGTCTTGTGGTCTGGTGCGTCTTATAGAGCGAAAAATGCGGTGCATAGAAAAAGAGAATGATGAAATTGGCGCGGTTGCTTCTTCTAAGGGTCGGGTGCAATTGGTATCTGCACCATCAAAGAGTTTTGCTGAAAGGTCTTGCCCCAAGACTCCACTTGTCGGAAGGACAGCTGACATAACTCCAGCAGCATCCCAGTCTGTCAGGAAGGTTCTAGAAACTCCGAATAGGCTAACAAAAGAGCATCTTTCCAAAAGGAAAAAAAGTCTTCTACGAAAAAGGCTACTGAAACTGCAAACAGAGTTGAAAACATGGTTCCTGAAGGCTATCCAGAAATGGAGAACCTCTTTTCCTATGATCCTTTAGACTTTGAGAGTTTTGAAGTTCCCGAAGATCACAGGCTGAGCCACATGCCCCTGACTGGAGTTCCTCTGATGGTATTTGAAAATGCCTCTGACAGATTTGCAAACACAATCTCTGCACCTGCAAAAGAGCCTTCCATTTCATGGGGCTATGATACCCTGCAGTCCACTCTAGACTTCCTGGCCACTTTGGATGAAATAATAATTGATTTCCCCCCTTCCTTATAATATGTAAACAGACTTATCTCTTTTTAAGCTGAATTTTGAGCAAGCTGTATTAATTTTCATAATAAAGGACTTGGATTAAAATCGCAAAAAAAAAAAGTCCTCCCCAAATGTTTATTCGGGATTTCCTTTCTTAAACTTGAAGCCACTGGGTTCGAGCCCTATCCTTCAGAGCAGGAGAAAACAAGTCCCCGCGTGCAGAAAGGTAGTGTATCAGGGAGACGGCTTGGGCAGGAAATACGCCTGACATGCTGGTTTTCCAAATGCGGGGATTTTTTATAAAAAAAATGGTCTCCCTGTAAAGTTCTGCTGTCTTAACCAGACAACCCGCGCGCCCTCCCGGTTGGCACACGTACACATCCTCGGGAGCGTAGTCCATCTCTTCGTCTTGGTCCCGTTTGCGTTTGCGCATCGTGTCGTCCACAGGGAGGAAGTAGGCCACAAACTGGTTCCCTTCCTCGTCCATCATGCCCCTGGAATGGGGGGGGGGGGGAGAAAGAGAGAGAGAGAGAGAGGGAGGAAGGAAGGTTATCTCTTGCATGGAATCCACTAGCAAACCAGTTTGTCATGGAGAGACTGGAGTTTGGTGCATAGCTGTCAACTTACAGATTTGAAAATAAGGGGCCAGCAGCCTTGAAAATAAGGGACCAGCAGCCAAAATAAGGGATTTTCCGAGTACAGGTATGTTCAGCTTCTGAGCCCCTCCAAGCCAAAGGCAGAAAGCCCAGCCAGCAGCCAAACGAAGCCTCAAGCGGTGGTTCCCACAGCGCAGCAACCCGGCAAAGGGGATGCAGCAAGGAAAACCACCGTCCCCTCTCCGCTGGGAAGCGCTGAGCAAAGGCGAGTCCCCAGGCAACGCGGCCGATTTGATCGGCACAAGGCATACAAGCTCCACCCCCCAGTCATTCTCAGACTCCTTATTGGGTGAGCAACGCAGCCAAGCAACACAGTTGGAGCCTCCCTCCTCCCTGGCCGGCAGGGAGGGAGGGAGAGGAGCTGCTTCCTTTGAAACCCGGGAAATTTAAGGGACATCATCAATAAGGGACAGCAGCGGGACACAGCGCTGGGATAAGGGACTTTCCCGCCAAATAAGGGACAGTTGACAGCTATGGTTTGGTGGCAGGACACCTGCCCAGCATGCAGAAGGCCTCAGTTTCAACCCCCAGCACAGCTTCTCCAAGCGAGGCTGGGAAGAATTCCCATCTCCCGCAAAGAGAGCTGCATTTCCGTACCTAATCATGGCCTGGGACATCATCTCGAGGGCGGCCGACCCACTGGTGTCCTTGGGCGCTGGGTCGGAGTCGAAGATGACCTGGGCGCAGGGGTTGATCCACATCTGGCGGAGGGCGGAAGAAGAACAGCTTACGGCACGGCAAGAACCCTCCAGAAATGGCACACAGCTGGCAGAGCCTGCTTAGACATGCCTCATCCCCACCCCTCCAGGACACAGCTGTCAACGTTTCCCAATTTTTAAGGGAAATTCCTTTATTCCGAATAGGATTCCTTGCAAGAAAAGGGAAATGTTGACAGCTATGCTCCAGGATTCGCCCCAATCGGGCCGGACTGTGCAGTCCGAGGAGAAGAAATGAGGGGCTTCTGCGTGCAAAAGCAGGGAGTGGGTGCGAGAACCAGGGCGAAGAGGCTCTGCGACTACTACTCCACCCCCTGAATCTTACTCTCCCTCTTAGGCAGAGAGGCCCAGATTAAGACCTTTAGAGGCTCTAAGCACTTAAAAATATTTTGGTGCCCCCATATATATCTGATCCAAAATATACACAATTATAAACCACGAGATAAAATTTTATTTTTCGAAACGAGACGAAACCTACAGTAACATGGAAAATAATGTTTCGTTTTTGTATACAGTTGTACCTTGGTTGCCGGACGCCTTGGAACTCATACATTTCAGCTTCCGAATGATCGAAAACCGGAAATGAGTGCTCCAGTTTTCAAATGATTTTCGGAAGCCGAACGTCCGGCACGGCTTCTGATTGGCTGCAGGATGCAGGAAGCCTCGTCTTGGTTTTCGAACAGTTCCGGAAGTCGAACAAGACTCCCGGAACGCATTCTGTCCGAGAACCAATGTACACCTGTACTTCCGCTTTATTTGTATTCGAAAAGTTTTCTCCTACTTTTTCCAACTGCAAAGTCTTTGATCAGAACCTCAAAACCAATCCTGCTTCTATACTTAATGGAGAGAAGGAATCCCTCCTGCCTTGTTGCCTCGTTGTTCTGTTGGGATTTTTAATATACTTCGGCTGAGAAAAGGAACGCCCAGCTGAGCAATTTGTGACCACTAAATGTTAAAAATCCAGCCATGGGAAATTTCTGTGGCTTCCCCTCTTCCTTTGATGCCCTAAATAAGTGCTTGTTTCGCTCAGTGGTTCATCCATCTTTGCCAAGAGCCCACCACCTCTCTAATCTCGCTCACCCTGCCTATGGACCCTTCGCAAATGTACAGGAAAGGAAGTTTCGTAGCCGAAAAACCATAGGAACCGAGCAGGTAGAGAGAGGCCTAGTGGCGAGAGCAGGGCTGCTGTATACAAAGCCCCAAACATCTTAGATCCAACTGCCCCCATACATAGCTAAAGGATTGAGTCCTAAATGCTGGCACTGCGGTCAAGAGTTAGGGGTATATGCACATATGTGGTGGGAGTGTATTTGTGTAAAGGAATATTGGCAAAAGATTATAAAGGTTATTTCTGATGTATTTCAGGTTAAGACAGAAGTCGATAGAGAAATGTTTATCTCAGGAATACTGGGGAATAGTAATATAGAAAGAAAAGAGCAAGATTGGTATAAAATTATGATCTTAGCTGGTATGCTTGTTATTGCATCAGGATGGAAAGAAAAGGATAAATGGACAATGGAAAAATGGAATGACTGTTTTTGAATATATACAATCTGATATATTTGAACAGGCAATGATGGAAGGTGGGAAAACAATTGTCAAAAGATTTTGAATAAATGGACAAGTTATAGGAATTGGATAGCACGGGGTGGGAGCCAACCCAAGCATCCAAATTAGAATGAATAATCTGTGCACATGGCTAAAGATTTGAAGAGAGAACAATTTGGGGGGGAGGGGTAAAGGGGAGGGAGGAAGGGAGGGAAAAAATTAGGATAAATGAGTAGGGGCAAAAGAATATACTGTTATGCATAACTAATAGGAGGAGGATTTTGATGTATGTTATAGTTAGAATTTCAACTGAATGTTTTTTTGTAACTTATTCGAGGAGGAAAGTGTGATTATAAAAAATAAATTTTTTAAAAAATAAAATAAAATAATCCAACTACCCCTTATCTCAATCTCACCTTGAAGTCAGGGAAGACAGGCATGACCTCCACAGGCGTGACCCGAGGTTTGCTGTAGTGCTGAGCGATCTGGAGGCAGAATTTGGAAGTGAGAAATGTGGGTGAGGCCAGTGGAGGCAAGGACACCAATAAGCTTCTCGGAACTGCGCCCCCAAATCCCCGAAAAGCATCGTCCTCCCAAAGGGAGACAGGAAATAGATTTATGCTGCCGCCCACCTCTGCATTTCCTGGCCAGGTGGACAGCTTCAAGCTCTGAGTATTGTGTTTTAATTAAAGGGACGCGGGTGGCGCTGTGGGTTAAACCACAGAGCCTAGGACTTGCCGATCAGAAGGTCGGTGGTTCGAATCCCCGCAACGGGGTGAGCTCCTGTTGCTCAGTCCCTGCTCCTGCCAACCTACCAGTTTGAAAGCACGTCAAAAGTGCAAGGAGATAAATAGGTACCGCTCCAGCGGGAAGGTAAACAGCATTTCCGTGCGCTGCTCTGGTTCGCCAGAAGCGGCTCAGTCATGCCGGCCACATGACCCAGAAGCTGTATGCCAGCTCCCTTGGCCAATAAAGTGAGATGAGTGCTGCAGCCCCAGAGTCGGCCACGACTGCACCTAATGGTCAGGCGTCCTTTTACCTTTTGTGTTTTAATGCTTAACCTGCCCTGTAACCTCAGGGTGAATCCATCAATCATCATCACCATCCCGTTTACAAAAGTGCAACAGTGAGAGGACAGCGGTTTCATTTCCCAAAAAAAGGTACCACCCCGGACAGCTCACCGACTTCTGAGCATCCTCAAAGGTCTTCTCGATGGCCGCAATCTGGCTATCTCTGTCCTTGTAGATCTCTTCCTCTGTGAACTGTTGCTTGACAGACACACCAATCCTGATTGAGAACCAGGAAAGAAGTATGTATCAGAAAGGAGTCGTTTACCCAGGTAAAGGAAGACCACAGCGGTCCTCTGGAGGAACTTTGGGAAACTGGCCGAAACAGATCTTCCTGGAGGCTTTGAAGGCGTGGTCCAGAAACTCAAAGATTCACCACGTTCATCACTGGATTGTTGGGTTCTTTTTATGCTGAAACAGCAGCTTTAAAAAAACACGTTTAATTTCTACTCACTTAACCTCCGGCTTCTCATTGGAGACACCGTAGCGGTTGAACTCTGTGGAGATGTATTCAGTCTTCCTCATCCATGGCACCACTTTGGCATGCTGCTGGGATCTGCAAAGAAAGAGAGAGAGTTTTTTTTTTTTTTAGGAAGAATCCACGTGGGTCTCTTGTCTCCCTCCAGAGGCATTTCTGAGTACTGCAAGCCTCCCATTTCCTACAACCATGTTCCTGGCCCTCAAGATGGTCTGCAACACCTGTGAGAAAGACCTAGGAAGGAAAAGCTGCTGGGTTATCCTTGGCCACTCCTACTGGCAACAGAAACGTACAAGTTGCTTCATTTCAATCACTGAGCTACTTCATAGGACTTCTTCAGTACTGACCCCGATTTGGTGGAATGCTCTGTCCCAAGAGACTAGGGCCCTGCGGGACTTGACATATTGCAAGATGGAGCTGTTCCACCTGGCCTTTGGTTTGGACTCAGTCTGGCCCTTATGTTTCCCTCCCCTTATGGTTTTGATCTATGGGCTGTTATTAAAGTGAGACTGCATTTTAAATTGACATGAGCCAACAGTGTGACGCGGCAGCTAAAAAAGCCAATGCAATTCTGGGCTGCATCAGTAGGAGTATAGCATCTAGATCAAGGGAAGTAATAGTGCCACTGTATTCTGCTCTGGTCAGACCTCACCTGGAGTACTGTGTCCAGTTCTGGGCACCACAGTTCAAGAAGGACACTGACAAACTGGAACGTGTCCAGAGGAGGACAACCAAAATGGTCAAAGGCCTGGAAACGATGCCTTATGAGGAACGGCTAAGGGAGCTGGGCATGTTTAGCCTGGAGAAGAGGAGGTTAAGGGGTGATATGATAGCCATGTTCAAATATATAAAAGGATGTCATATAGAGAAGGGAGAAAGGTTGTTTTCTGCTGCTCCAGAGAAGCGGACACGGAGCAATGGATCCCAACTACGAGAAAGAAGATTCCACCTAAACATTAGGAAGAACTTCCTGACAGTAAGAGCTGTTTGACAGTGGAATTTGCTGCCAAGGAGTGTGGTGGAGTCTCCTTCTTTGGAGGTCTTTAAGCAGAGGCTTGACAACCATATGTCAGGAGTGCTTGATGGTGTTTCCTGCTTGGCAGGGGGTTGGACTCGATGGCCCTTGTGGTCTCTTCCAACTCTAGGATTCTATGATTCTTCTATGAAATTGTATTTCCAACCTGTATTTTTTTAAACCCCCCCCATTGTTATCATTGTGATTTTACTGGTGTTAGCTGTCCTGAGCCTGGCTCTGACCGGGGAGGGCGGGGTATAAATAAAATTTATTAATTATTATTATTATTATTGGCAGTGAAGAGCCCTCCTGCTGCGCAACGGGTCAGTGCAACTGGCTGTTAACCAGGTCGGTGGTTCAAGCCCACCCAGGGATGCCTGCGGCCAGAATTCCTTCATTGCAGGGGGTTGAGGCAGATGACCCCCAGGGGTCCCTTCCAACTCTAGAATTCTATGATTCTAAGAGTATTTTCCCCACCTAACATATACCATATTTTTCGCTCCCTAAGACACACTTTTTTCTTCCTAAAAAGTGAGGGGAAATGTCTGTGCGTCTTATGGGGTGAATGTGTGGTCCCTGGAGAAGAATTGCCCAGGGAAAGAGAGAAGTGGGTGTTGAAACAAAGCCACTGATCCACTGATCGGCAAGCGATCGGGAGGGAGATAAGGGACCTTAGCAATAAAGGAGGCTGCCTGGGACACGGGAGGTAAAGACAGCAAACTTGCAAGGAGAAGAGACAGGAAGACTAAATCAATGAGGAGAGAAATTAGAAGAAAAGGAGGAGCAAAAAACTGCTCCGGCTAAGGAAAAGACACTAAGGCAAACAAGAGGGAAGGGAGTGTTGAAAGGAAGCAGAAAAAAATCACACACCTACTGTTGTATGGGGCTGCAATGGCGCAAAAACGTGGTTACAAAGCACGGATCCACATGGATCATCAGGATTTTTGCATTGGGCTACCCCAAACTCACCGTCACATCACATCTGTGGCCACAGCATGAACCACAAAAATCATACATCCACTGTTTCATTCAGAATTTTCCCCCTTGTTTTTCTCCTCTAAAAACTAGGTGCATCTTATGGAGCAAAAACTATGGTAGGTTCCAAATATTGACTCCTGCTTCAAATCAAGCATTATTTAAAATGTACTTAGCGCCAATGTGCTTTTCAGAACACGAGGCCCACTGCACTGATCTGCATTTACATGGGCAAAAGCTCTGGAACTGGGGAGGAGAGGGGCCAACCCATAACTGATGAACAGCACAAGATGGGGGAGGGCAGAAGAGTTGTGCAGCCCCCAGAAGGTGAAAGGGAAGCTGAGGAGAAGGGAGTTTCAGGAAGGTAGCTCCAAACCAGGAAAGCAGCTTACATGGGAGAGCTGCTCCTGAAACAGGGAACGGGTTGGCCGGTGTGGTAGCAAGAGCATCGGCACAAGACCTGGGGGAGACCAGGGCTCAAATGGCCACTTGGCCAAGCTCACCAGGGGACCCTGGCGGTCAAAGGTAAAAGGTAAACCATTAGGTCCAGTCGCGGACAACTCTGGGGTTGCGGCGCTCATCTCGCTTTACTGGCTGAGGGAGTCGGCGTACAGCTTCCGGGTCATGTGGCCAGCAGGACTAAGCCACTTCTGGCGAACCAGAGCAGCGCACGGAAACGCCGTTTACCTTCCCGCCAGAGTGGTACCTATTTATCTACTTGCACTTTGACGTGCTTTTGAACTGCTAGGTTGGCAGGAGCAGGGACCGAGCAACGGGAGCTCACTCCGTCGCGGGGATTCGAACCGCCAACCTTCTGATCGGCATGTCCTAGGCTCTGTGGTTTAACCCACGGCCCCACCCACGTCCCTTGGAGAACAAGGTGGGATATAAAGGCAAAGAAGGAGGAAGGAGGAGAGCAGTAACCCAAGGGAGTTTACGATGGCCTGAAGATTCAAGAGGGCGAGGGAAATTTGGGGCCTCGGGACACAATGGAGAGCAGAAAAGGATTTTTTTCACAGGTGTCTGCAGTCGGAGGAGTGCTTTGGGGTTTAGAATCCCGGCCCAGGTTAAATCATTACCTCTTGGAACTGGTTGGCGCTTGGATCTCTTCCTCCAGCAACTTCTCATCGGCGGGATCTAGAAGAACTGCAAGAAGCCAAAGAAGGTGCAGCAGTGGTTAGAGACCAAAGGCTGTTACCCCTTATTTACACACCTAGCCCGGTCTAGCTATTTCAGCCAAATCCCCGGCAATCGTCTCTGGCCAGACTTCCTGGAGTTCTGTCTTCAGCACATCCATGACAGCCTGATACACAGTCACATTAAGATGTACCAATCGTAGACAATATTTTTTGCCATGGACATCAACCCAGGCCTTGTGGGGAATTCCTTGCAGACAACCGCAGTGACTGGAGACAGTCAGCTCATGTAATGACCACAGGAGAAATGACCGCTGGGAGAAGCAAAAAGAAACTCCCTGGTGCATCTGCAGCAGCACAAGTGGACGCTTTTGTCAGCCCCAGTTGCAACAAAACATGTCTCTCCCATATCGGTCTCTGCAGCCAAAGTAGGTGCTGTAGGTAACTCTTGAACTCGGTTTGACTTCACTCCTCTATTGCCTCCCGAAACAGACGGATGGGCAACCAAATTTAAAAAGTGGCATCCTAATACACAACATATTTGTGTGTGACATCAAGCAGGTTGCGCAATGGGAATCCAAAATGTATCAGTCACATCTCCACAATCGGAACCCACAACTGCTGTGCACGGTTATTAAAAAGGTAAAGGACCCCTGGATGGTTAAGTCCAGTCAAAGGCGGCTATTGGGTTGCGGTGATCGTCTCACTTTCAGAGGGAGCCGGCGTTTGTCTGCAGACAGCTTTCCGGGTCATGTGGCCAGCATGACTAAACCGCTTCTGGCGCAACTGTTACGGAAACCAAAGCGCATGGAAATGCCGTTTATCTTCCCGCCAGAGCGGTAGCTATTTATCTACTTGCACTCATGAGCTTTCAAACTGCTAGGTTGGCAAGAGCCAGCAACGGGAGCTCACCCCGTCGCGGGGATTCGAACCGCCAACCTTCTGATCAGCAACCCCAAGAGGCTGTGTGGTTTAGACTACAGTGCCACCCACGTCCCACACGGTTATTAAGATTTCCCGGTCCCGCAACTCCTCTCACCGTTGGGGTCGATGCGGTATGTATCGGGGTTGATTAGATCTATGGTGACTCCCAGGTCGGGCTCAGTCAGGAGGTCATGTTTGTGCTGCTTCTCAAGAGAGGTGGCTTTGTACTGTACAAACCTGGAAGGTGGCAGAAGCAAGAGGCAGGTCAAGCAGTAGAAAAAGCATAGGCCGAATTTCAAAGGACGAAAATTATTTCAAAATTTACAAGGACAAGCATTTTCCAATTTTGCATGGGTATGTCATAAAAAAATGCCTGCACTGTTCTCCTGCTAAAGGCCCGTTCTAATTATGAGTTTTAATCTGCAGAAATGTGCTTCTGAACACTAATTTACAATACGATAATCTTTATTGTCGTTGTCCCATACAGGACAACGAAACTGAAAAAATCTACACCAGACATTCAGAAACCAACAAGCCTGCTATCCCAGCCTGGTTGACCCCCTAAAAACTCTGATACCCCATAATTAAATACAATATACTCCCATAGAGACTACCTTACACTGCGTTTAAAACCAAAATCGCATTTGGATAGAAACTGTTTCTCAGGCGGCTAGTCCTAGTCTTTATAACCCTGTACCTTCTTCCAGAAGGCAGAAGCTGAAAGAGATTAGTGGGGGCATTCGCCTTTCTCTCTGGCACAGGGGAGAATATGAACTGGCAATATGCAGTTTCCACAAAAATAATCAGTCTTTAAATCTGCAACCCAATTTATTTGGGACACCTTTCAAAAATGCTGAATGGGTCTTGGCTTCCCATAAATGATGCCTAAAGCAGCTATCAGTAAACTAACAGAAAAAGAATAAAACAAGGCAATATAAAAATGTGAGCAGATAAAACAGCGCCAACTTAAAAGAGTTTTTGTGAAATAAAAAGACTATTTCAGCAACTAATGATTGCCCATTCACTTTTGTTTCCTCTGTGTAACTTTTCACATAAGCATTGCACTTCTTCTATGATCTATTTTTACATGCAGATTTAAGAGGTCATAACCATTCGGCGCTTTGCAGCCTGATATCCTGCAGATATAACTCCAGAATTAACTCGCCATGCACTGCAGAAAAGTCAGTCTGGTCTGTTTAAGACCCCGGAGGATCCACTGTGGATGTGCTAATGTGCAGAAAATGACAGCCTCACATCTGAGCCTCTTATTGCTCACCTGTTCTGGTCAAATGGGTATGTGATGAACTTGGGGTCAAAGGGGATATCGGGGAGACTGTTGCAATACTTGACACGACACACCACCCCCGACCTGCAAAGGGAAATGTGAGAAAGGGAGGTGAGACCACCTGCCACGCTCCAAGCAAGAGGTGAGGGATGGCAAGGGAGTGATCTTTACCTCTCAGGAAGCGTCCGGTGGGAGTTGGGCCTGAGGAAAAAGAGACAGAGAGATGGGGTTACTGATACTTTAGCACAGAGATGCTGGCGCATAAGAAATGAGACTTGGTGGAACGGTTTAGTCAGAATCTCCTTTTGAATTCATTGATTCAGGCTCACACACACACACACACACCCCGGAGCAGGAGAAAGCAAGTTTGCACCACCTTCCAGGTGTTGGCCCTTAAGATACAGGTGAAACTCGGAAAATTAGAATATTGTGGAAAAGTTCATTTATTTCAGTAATTCAACTCAAAAGGTGAAACTAATATATGAGATAGACTCGTGACATGCAAAGTGAGATATGTCAAGCCTGTATTTGTTATAATTGTGATGATTATGGCATTGATGAAATCAATGAACTTTTCCACAATATTCTAATTTTTTCGAGTATTTGAAGATGGCCATAATATCTCCCCTCAGTCTCCTCTTTTCTAAGCTAAACCTACCCAGCTCCTTCGACCTCATCAGGCTTGGTTTCCTTGATCGTCTCGGTCGCCCCTCTCTGCCCACCTTCCAGCTTGTCCATATTATGGGTGGCATTGTTCCTTACCTGTCTCTCACTCCTAGGTCCCAAGGCGGTTTTCAGCATCGAAACACAGCATTAAAAGCAGTTTTTAAGAAGGGTTAAAACAATAAGTACTATTACTTTCTGTTTACTGCTTTATTCCTCACTTTATTTCTCAGTTTTTAACGGAAGCGACTCAAAGGGACTTAAGAACAAGGCGCCTGGCAGAGGGACCCAGGTGTCCGGGCTCAGCCCCTCCCCCTCTTAGGACCCTTTGGGGAGAACTGCGTGGGGGGGGGAGGGAGCAGGAGACCCCTCCCCACTTCCCTCTCCCACAGGGGACCCAGGCGTCCGGGAGAGGGCAGTGACGTCACCCCTACCTGTGCCCGGGCTCTTCCCGCTGCGCCTGAGTCTGGATAGTTGGCGCCATCGCGAACCCCACTCAGGAGCAACAGGCTACGCCAGTCAACCGGGGGGCGGGGCTTAATAAGCCCCCCCCTTTTCCGCCGCGGAGCCCGCTGGGAAATGTAGTTCGGGCTGCTACGTCAAGCCACTTCCGGCCAAAAGGGAAACGTCGCAGGCTGCTTATGCGCGCGGGAAATCCATCGTTTGGCACCGACAGGTGTGAGGGGAACTGCCATAGCGCGAAATAGCCGCCCTTCCCTCACGCAGAAAGAAGCCGTCCCGAAAGGCATGTCGGGAAATGGAGTCCTGGCCGCAGTGCATGGTGGGGCACATAGCGCCCGCCGCCGCCAATCAGGAGAGTTCTCGTGCGCAGTGCATGCCGGGATCCTCCCCGCCCGCGCCTGCGCCCCGCGCTGCATGCCGGGAGAGGTAGTCGAGAGGAACTACGGAGCCGAGCGCGCTGAGGGGGAGGCAAGATGGCGGCGCCTCAGCAGCCGCCTCAAGCGCAGCCGGCGCAGCTGACGCTCCTGCAGGCGCAGGTGGGGCCTCCCTCGGGCGGCGGCGCGGCGGCGGCGGGAGGAGGGCACCCCGGCTCGGCGCAGGCCGCGGCCGGAGCGGCTTCCCTAGCGGTCGGCCAGGCGCCCGGCGGGCTCCAGCCTCCCGCGCAGGCGCAGGACTTCGACCCCGTGCAGCGCTTTCGCCTCCTGCTGCCGCAGCTCAAGGAAAGCCTGCAGGTGAGGGGCGGGGCCAAGGCGGGGGCGGGGCCAGAAGAAAGGGGCGGGGCTGCTGGGCCGTTTCCGTGGAGACGGAGTTCGGGGAAGGGGCGGGGCAAAGGGGGTGGGCGGAGCTTAAGCTCTGTGCGTTTACTTAGGTGGGTTTCTAGTCCCTGAGAGCGGGAACATATTTTTTTTACTGTATTTCTTTTATTTTGTCGGTGTATATACTACATTTTTTTATATTTCCCTTCAGAGCGTCTTTAAACCTCTTTGCTGACCACCAGCATCATGGCTTTCCATTTTTAAGTTCGGAATAGAGTACAGTGGTGCCTCGCAAGACGAAATTAATTCGTTCCGCGAGTTTTGTCGTCTTGCGATTTTTTTCGTCTTGCGAAGCACGGGTGTCGGAAAGTTTTGGAAAAGCTTCAAAAATCACCAAAGTCTTTAAAAACCTCAAAAAAGGCTACCACACCGCGTTCTATGAGTTGCTCCTCGAAGTCAAGTCGCAACTGTATTAACGGTGTTAAGAAAAAGGAAACAAACTTGCAAGACGTTTGCAAGGGAGAAAGGTTGTTTTCTGCTGCTCCAGAGAAGCGGACACGGAGCAATGGATCCAAACTACAAGAAAGAAGATTCCACCTAAACATTAGGAAGAACTTCCTGACAGTAAGAGCTGTTCGACAGTGGAATTTGCTGCCAAGGAGTGTGGTGGAGTCTCCTTCTTTGGAGGTCTTTAAGCAGAGGCTTGACAACCATATGTCAGGAGTGCTCTGATGGTGTTTCCTGCTTGGCAGGGGGTTGGACTCGATGGCCCTTGTGGTCTCTTCCAACTCTATGATTCTACGTTTTCGTCTTGTGAAGCAAGGCCCATAGGGAAAATCGTCTTGCGAAGCAGCTCAAAAAACAAAAAACCCTTTCGTCTTGCGAGTTTTCCGTCTTGCGAGGCATTCGTCTTGCGAGGTACCACTGTAGTTGCTTTGGAAGACGATCATCAGGCATCCGCAGAACACGGCCAGTCCAACAAATTTGATGTTGAAGAATCATTGCTCCAACACTCGTGATTTTTGCTTCTTCTAGTACAGTGATACCTCTGGTTAAGAACTTAATTCATTCTGGAGGTTTGTTCTTAACCTGAAACTGTTCTTAACCTGAAACACCACTTTAGCTAATAGGGCCTCCTGCTGCCGCCGCGCAATTTCTGTTCTCATCCTGAAGGAAAGTTCTTAACCAGAGGTACTATTCTGGATTAGCGGAGTCTGTAACCTGAAGGGTATGTAACCCGAGGTACCACTGTAGTGGCACCCGCCCTGTGGAACTCCCTCCCACCAGATGTCAAAGAGAAAAAACAACTACCAGACTTCTAGAAGACATCTGAAGGCAGCCCTCTTTAGGGAAGCTTTTAATGTTTAACAGACTATCGTACAGTGGTACCTTAGGTTAAGTACTTAATTCGTTCCGGAGGTCCGTTCTTAACCTGAATCTGTTCTTAACCTGAAGCACCACGTTAGCTAATGGGGCCTCCCGATGCCGCTCTGCTGGAGCAAGATTTCCTTTCTCATCCTGAAGCAAAGCTCTTAACCTGAAGCACTATTTCTGGGTTAGCAGAGCCTGTGACCTGAAGCGTACGTCACCTGAAGCGTGTGTAACCCGAGGTACCACTGTACACTGGTATTAGTTTGCCTGTCTTCCCAAGTGATGTGTCAAATTTTTCGGAGATACCATTGGTGGAATCTTAGGCTAGCCTAGGAGGGGCAGTGACTGGCCCAAGGTCCATGCCCGGTCATCTTCATTGCTTAGTGTGGATTTGAGCCCTCTACTGAGTCCATCACACCACACTGGTTCTTCAAATGTGGGGCCAGTAGGCCACGTGAAATGCAGTGGCCCTTTCGGAATCTGTTGTGAGCTGAGGAACGGCTAAGGGAGCTGGGCATGTTTAGCCTGGAGAAGAGGAGGTTAAGGGTGATATGATAGCCATGTTCAAATATAGAAAAGGATGTCACATAGAGGAGGGAGAAAGGTTGTTTTCTGCTGCTCCAGAGAAGCGGACACGGAGCAATGGATCCAAACTACAAGAAAGAAGATTCCACCTAAACATTAGGAAGAACTTCCTGACAGTAAGAGCTGTTCGACAGTGGAATTTGCTGCCAAGGAGTGTGGTGGAGTCTCCTTCTTTGGAGGTCTTTAAGCAGAGGCTTGACAACCATATGTCAGGAGTGCTCTGATGGTGTTTCCTGCTTGGCAGGGGGTTGGACTCGATGGCCCTTGGGGTCTATTCCAACTCTATGATTCTATGATAGCCCAGCGAGGCCCTTCAATTCTCCCTCCCCAAAGCCAACTTCCTACATGTGCTCTGCCAAACCTAAGCTGCAGAGCAGCTAGCTGCCCACCTCTGAGAAACCGCAGCTCTAACCCCTTGGCATCGCTCCCCTCTTGGGAACTGAGGCAAGCTCCTCCTGCCTCCCCTGCTCCGCTCTCTCTTCCACAGCCCTCCCTTCCCTTTCTGTTTCGCAAACGTGTGGTTTCATTTTTGCCTTTGTTTTTCCCGGAAAGCCCTTTGCCGAGTCAGACTTTTTTTTATTTTTATCCCCGCGTTTTGAAACGGCTCTTGACTCTTTCCGAAAGAATGAAGCGTCAGTCCTTGGCCCAAATATATGAACTGCTGAAGCAGTAACTTTTTCCCCTCCCCTCCTTTGGTCTGTGTGGCGCGGGAGCGAAGAGAGCCAGAGTCCCGTGGTGGGGAATGGATGCTTCACCGCCCCCCAGGGCTTGTGTCCAAGGCTTCTGGTAAATGAATCAGCATGGCAGGATGAGCCCCCAGGGGGTGGGGTGAGGGCACCTTTATCCCTGTGTCAATATCCCTAGAACGAGAAACGGAACAGGCTTCGGCTTGGATCCGGAGGCGTTGGCAGGCAGGTTTCCAGGATTGGGTAGTTTTGTGTGTGTTCTGTTTTGATACCTTTGAGCTTGCCCTCGCGTTTCCTGACCTTGCGAGGTCCTGGAAACGAAACCGCAGCTCTCGGAATCGCTGCTTGCTCCCAGCCAGCTATTTCTGACTCGCTGTGGCCTTGGGGTAGAATTTAATGTGCCCTGGGGCTCGTTTCTGTGGAACATAATCGGAAGCTGCGTAATAATAAAAATATTTCCTTTTAAAAACATATATATTTTTTATTTGGTTTTACAAATATAAATTTATAACCATACCAAATACACATCCTTATAAAGAGAGTACAGTGGTACCTCGGGTTAAGAACTTAATTCGTTCCGGAGGTCCGTTCTTAACCTGAAACTGTTCTGAAGCACCACTTTAGCTAATGGGGCCACGCGATTTCTGTTCTCATCCTGAAACAAAGTTCTTAACCTGAGGTACTATTTCTGGGTTAGCGGAGTCTGTAACCTGAAGCGTCTGTAACCTGAAGATTCAGAGTGCAATCTTGAGACTTCCCCCTATCCCCTCCATGGGTCCTAGGGTCAACATTTTCAACTGCATATTATTTCGTAATCTGTATTTTATATCTATCCATATCGTCCATAGTATTTGTTACATTACAAGCGAGATTAAAATCCTGCTCACGTTTTCATCTGCTTACAGTGGTCTCCTAAATAAATTATGAATCTTCCCCATTCCTTCTTGGAAGTTCTTTGTCTTCTTGGTCCCTGAGCTTTCCAGTCAGTTTTGCCATTTCAGCATAGTCTAAAAGCTTGGTTTGCCATTCCTCTCTGGGCTAGTAGCATCCATGTTGCTGTTGTTGCATACCTATAATAAGAAGGTATCCAAAAGGAATAGAAGCAGATGCCCAAATGAAAGGATTGGGGAGAACTGGCTTGGCAGCAGGGCTTGCCAAAAGGATTGGACAGCGGGGTGGTCTTAGTAGATTGCACGCTTAGCATGACCCAACACTGTGATGCAGCAGCGATAAAAAGGAAATGCAATTCTAGGCTGCATCAGCAGAAGTCTAGTGTCCAGATTAATGGGTGTCTTATTGTATTTTAATGTTGTGAACTGCCCTGAGCTCTGTGGATGAAGGGCAGTATACAGATTAAATGATAATAAAGTCAACACACTGCTCTGTTCTGCTCTTGTCAGACTCTACCCGGGAGTCCAGTGGTGCTGCTGAGAACCTGTGGCCCTCCAGATGTTGCTCCCATCCAGCCATGCCATTGGCCACGCTGGGTGTTGGGGGTCCAGCCAAAATAGCTACTCTTTGTTCCAATAAACACCCTCTCAGGCTGCTGTCACAGAGCCACTGAGCAGGTGGCTGGACCAACAGCCTTAATTCATTCCCAGTTAACGGTTTGGTTATCTAACCGTCTTGATTCCCAGTGTCACAAAGCCACTGAGAAGAGGCTGGGCAAACTGCCCTTTCGAGCTCAGATCAGGTCTCCAAAACGTGCTTGTTTGCTTCATGCTAAAACCAAAACTTTGCATCATTTTAAGAAGCCACCAGCATATGGTACGATGATATTTGCACACCTGGCCAGGCTCCAGAGGGGTGTGCGTGTGGGTCTTTGGTAAATGTGCCCTCTTCCCGCCACAACTGTCTATCGCCCCCAATTTGTAAGCCGATATACTGTACTCTCTGCCTCTTGCGTTTGCAGAGCTTGATGAAAGTGGCTGCCCAGAACTTCATCCAGAACACCAACATCGACAGCGGACAGTGAGTTTGTGCCCCTACCCCTTGCCCGGCTTCTTTCTCCTCTCCCCTCCTCCCCCTCCCCCTAAATGCAAATCAAAGATTGGCTTTCCTCTCCTTCCAGGAAAAGCAACGACGGCCCCGTGCAGAGAGTGGACAAGAGCCTCGAGGAATTCTACGCCTTGTGTGACCAGCTGGAGTTGTGCCTGGTGAGTGTCCCAAGAATGTCCCATATTGGCAGCACGACCAGGCCTTATGAAACACTCCCTCCTTTTTCTTTTGCACGGCACATCATTCATTGGCGAGATTCACCGCCGCAAGTTCATGCGCTTGGGAGCACTGAAAGACAAACAAACAGGCACGTACAAAGCAAAGGTCAGGCAGTAAGAAATTAAATCCCAAATTCACAGCTGGGCAGCGTCGTCATTAGGAGCAACCCCAGTGCCGGAAAATAGCGAGCAGGCTTTCCAAGTCCTCCAGATCTCTTTCGTCAGGCAAAGAAGCAGCAGGGTTGGGAGTGGGGCGTGAAAATCCGGCTTTGGTGTTGCAGCCCTGAAGTCTGGATTTGGCACTGAGATGGGAGAATGCAGGCGGAATCAATCCTTCGTGCTGCAGGTTGTGACTTGGATTTATTTATTTTGTGCAGTTCTGTATTGATGTAAATTCAGAAGCGCAAATAAACCCCACAATTGAGGTTAGAAAGCAGAGGAGCCGTACAGAGGTTGTGTTTTTCAAATAAACAGAGCAGATAAAGGAGCAAAAATAAGAGGAGCAAGAAACGTCATGATGGCCCAGGAGAGTTTTGCATATCTGCATTGGGCACATAGGAAATAAGATCCCATAAGCGACGTAAGAGTGTTCTGGGATCTCCATACCCTTAGAAACGCACGATGTGCAAGTTGTTTTCTCTGCAGCAGCCAGAGCCTACATATTCTTGTACCGCAACGAGAGGTCTTAAGTCCTGTAGTGCTTTCCATTTCTGGGCCAAAGTGGTACTTGTTGCAGCCATGTTAAGAAGGTTTCTTAGGTTGGAAGGCTGCTGTTTGATTGCCCCGCAAATTTAATTGCATTCCAGGGGGTTGGACTAGATAGCATTTGGGGTTCCTCCTAACGCTAAAACTCTCTGATTCAAAAGGGAAAGTTGTGGGGAGGCTTGAATGGGGAATGTGTTTACAGTGGACGCTCGGGTTCTGAACGTGATCCATGCGGGAGGCACGTTCACAACCCGCAGTGCCGTGTCTGCGCACGCGCGGGTTGCAATTTAGCGCTTCTGCGCATGAGCGGCCGCCACAACCCGGAAGAAGCCCATTCCGGTACTTCCGGGTTTCGGCACGTCCGTAAGCCAAAAAAACGCAACCTGAAGGGTCTGTAACCCTGTATGACTGTGTATATTTCTTCCAAAACATCGGGGGGGGGGGAGGCATTCCCACCATAAGCGGGGAAATGTCTCCCTGCTCCTGCAGTCACACCAATATTCTTGTATTTGATGCCATGTGAGATAGCTGCCCAGCTGCAATGTTCTTCCCCATTTTTGGAAAACTTAAAAGCCCTGCTGTTCCCCAGACCCTTTCTCACGGTCTAAATGAAGCCCCCGGATCCCTGGTTAGACAGAGAGACTGATTGGCTGCTATTATCCTTGAATACTAAATGGGTCCTCCATCTACAGAGGCAGTCTACCCCTGGGTAGCAGGCCCCAGGGACTAGCATCAAGGGGAAAGCTTTATTGCTTGGGTCACAGTGTCGGGGAGAAAGGATGCTGGAATACCCAGCCCAATCTGGCGAGGCCAAGTTCCTAACTCTCTTCTCCTTCCGATCCACCTCCCCTTCCTCAGCGCCTGGCCTACGAATGCCTCTCCCAGAGCTTTGACAGCGCCAAGCACTCCCCGACCCTCGTGCCGACAGCCACCAAGCCGGACGCGGTCCAGGCGGAGAGCCTGCCCTACACCCAGTACCTCAGCATGATCAAGTCCCAGATCTCCTGCGCCAAAGACATCCACAACGCCCTCCTGGAGTGCTCCAACAAGATCACGGGAAAGGCCCCCTCCCAGGGCGTCCTTTAGGGCCGCCTGCAAGCTGACCCTGCCAGACGTTTTGGTTTGGACCGCTGGGCCAGAGTCAGTTCCCGGCATGACCAGAAGGAGGCAGTCCTGTCAACACAGACAGACAGACAAGGAGCAAGGAGCCTCGTTGTCCTACCTCTTCGGCTTCCTTCCTTCCTTCCTTTGCAAAGTCCTCCCAGTCTGCCCAGGTCTTCATCTGAGTCCTCTGTGCTGTTCAGGTTCCCGACAGAACTTGTCTCCATCTGGGTCCGCGTTGGTTCCACAACGTCTAACTGAAACGCCAGGAGCTCAAGTCAGATGCACAAAAACCTTTTCGCTTACAAACAGTTCTCTTGTCAGAGAAGGATGCTGTGAAAGGACAACAAATTAAAATTCTCCTGATCTATGGGGCCTCGCAATCTGCGGGTCTTTTTTTGGAGCTGGCCAGTCAATATTTTTGCTCTTTTTTCTTCCTTTCGGGAGAGAGATGCTTGAGGACCACCCATAAGAAGCAAATCTGCAAGCCTAACCCTCCCCCCACAGTTCTGCAGGTTCCTTAGCCAAACCTTTCCGCCTGCCATTGCGGTGTCCTCTCCACGCAGAAACCTCCCTCCCAGAAAGGATCTGCGGTTCCCTTTTGATTTCCCCCTTTAAATCTCGCACCTTGACTTTTTTCTGGAAGACGGGCCTGTGCGAATGTGTGTGTAAGTTTGTAGATTGATCAAATGCATAATTCTGCAAAAGAGACTTCCTGGAACCCTGTGCAGAACTCCCGCCTGTGGATTTTCCTTTCCTAACGAATACAAAAGGAGAAATCTGACCCAGTAGCCTTAGTTCAACCTGTTTCTACCCTGCTGTCCATAAATTGGGTGCCCCTGGCAGGATTAAGTTATTTCTCTCAGGAGAAGAGACCCTGCAAGCAAGTCTCTTCACACACCTCCCACCATGAATCCAGGAGGGACTGCAATCTTGTCTGGTTTTCATCGCTGCGTTCTCTCTGCTCGCCATTTTATTTTTTTCTGCCCTGGGAGAGTGTGTCCTTTTCCATTTCTCGTTGGTTTTGCTCCCTGTTTTTGTGGGAAAAGGCGATTTTACCACCGCAGAGAAGAGCTGGCCTGTCCCCTGTTGTGGAAGACTTTCTCAGTTACTGCCTTTAGTTTTCCAGTGTGTGTCCTTTTATGATTATCAGGATAAAAAAAAAAGGCATTGGAGTTGGGTCCAGACTTCAGGCTGCAGTCCTCCACAGGTTTACCTGGGTGTAAGTCCTATTGGTTTCAGTGGGACTTACTTCTGAGTTCACTCTTCTGCGCTAGCTGTCCTGCCTTGAAGACCCACTGGCAGAAAGGGAGTAAGCTTGCCGGAACCAGCTTACATTCCATTGATTTCGGTGGGCCTACTCTAAGTAAGACTAGGTCCGGATCCTACCCATTAACCTTTTCAGAGAGCTTCGTTCTCTTCTAGGCTGCCATTCTTGGTGATCAAGGCAAGGCAGTTCTGTTACTTTGTACAGCAGCAAAGGATTCCTTTGTGATTTATTTCCCCAATCCATTTTGCTCCTAATAATAAAAATAAAAGTGTTCATTTTGCTTCTCTTAATTCCCAGCTCGGTTGCTTTCGTTTAGATCAGAGCAGGGGAACCCGTGGAACTCTGGGCATTTCTCGACAAGGCTGAGAGCCAGTTTTTCGATGAGAACCAGTGTGGCATAGTGGTTAGAGCGTTGGGCTAGGACCTGGGAGACTGGGATTCAAATCTCCACTTGGCCATGACGCTATGACCCTGGACAATCGCTGCCTCCCAGCCTGACCTACCTCACAGGGTTATAGGGACAGATAAAACCTTATTCACATTAGCCAATGGCCATAGCAACAGTAAAACATTACAGTATACGCAGAAAAGGGAATTTGATATAAGAGCACAATTTAATGTCCTGAATCAGCCGTCAGTTAGTGGCCCTTATTCTGATTGCCCCTGCTATGAACCTAGCAACCTTTGCTGTTATCTGCTCATTTTGATCTGATAGAAGAAAGGACATAGTGGCAGTGGCTGAGCGCCCTGGGATGGTTAGCTCAAGTGGGGTGATGAACTCGTTCCTCAGGTCTTTGTAGCGCAAGACAGGAGGACGTGTGCCGCTGTTTTGGTGCTGCCGTCTCCACAGGGGCAAAGATGTTTCTCAGACGGGACCTTTTGGAATCGACCCTCGAGTACCGCAGATGGCAAAAGCATCCAGTCTTGCGAGTGTAAAAGCACGTCTGTATTTTGGGATAATAAGTTTGTGCAGATACGGGGCCAGAGATTCAAAATGGAGAGGTGGAAAATGAACAAACGAATTGTAGGGATTACATGGGAGACAGGGAGAAGAACTATGGGTGCTGCTTTGTTCTCCTTGGGGGTTAGGTTGAGCTAGGAATGCAGTAAATAAACTACATCTCCCACGATCCCTGCGCAATCGCCATACTGACTGTGGCTGTGGGTGTTGGAGTCACCACATTTGGAGGGCTGCAGGATCCCATCCCTGGTTTAGAATGAAAGATCATCACAACACTGGGTCAGACCGGGGTATATGTGGTGTTCTGGGCGTTAGGGGAGGGGTAGTATCTCTGGTGGGGACCATGTTTGGCTCCTGGGGTAGTTACCCAGTTATTTATACCCCGCCCATCTGGCTGGATTTCCCCAGCCACTCTGGGCAGCTTCCAACAAAGTATTAAAATACAGTGGTCTGTTAAATATTAAAAACTTCCCTAAAGAGGACTGCCTTCAGATGTCTTCTAAAAGTCTGGTAGTTGTTTTTCTCTTTGACATCTGATGGGAGGGTTCTCCACAGGGCGGGTGCCACTACCGAGAAGGCCCTCTGCCTGGTTCCCTGTAACCTCACTTCTCGCAATGAGGGAACCGCCAGAAGGCCCTCGGAGCTGGACCTCAGTGTCCGGGCTGAACGATGGGGGTGGAGACGCTCCTTCAGGTCTACTGGACCGAAGCCATTGAGGGCTTTAAAGGTCAGCACCAACACTTTGAATTGTGCTCGGAAACGTACTGGAAGCCAATGTAGGTCTTTCAAGACTGGTGTTATGGGGTCTCGGCGGTGGGGATGAAAACGTCAGGTCTTCACCAAGGCTAACTTTCCAGACTGGTTCCTACGTGGCCCAGAAAAAGTCAGTGAAGTCCCCAAATGGGAGTTCCATCACAGAAGGAAAAAGGAAAGAAGGGGAGGGAATCAAATTGATTCCAAACCAAAGGCCAGGCAGAACAACTCTGTCTTACAGGCTCGGGGGAAAGAAATCAGATCCTGCAGGGCTCTGGTCATGAGACACAGCGTTCCACCAGGCCGGGGCCAATGTTGAAAAGGCCCTGGCTCTGGTTGAGGCTAATCTGACTTCCTTAGGGCCCGGGACCTCCAGGGCGTTGCTATTTATGGACCTTAAGGTAGCTACGACAGTCCTAGGCCGTGAAGGGCTTTAAAGGATAAAACCAGCACCTTAAACCTGTCCCTGTACTCCACCGGGAGCCAGTGCAGCTGGAAAAGCACTGGGTGAATATGCTCCCATGGCAGCGACCCCGTGAGGAGCCTCGCTGCAGCATTCTGCACCCGCTGGAGTTTCTGGGTCAGCTTCAAGGGCAGCCCCGCGTAGAGCGAATTACAGTAGTCAAGCTTGGAGGTGACTGTTGCATGGATCACTGTGGCCAGGGCGGGGCGGGAAAGGTAAGGGACCAACTGCTTGGTGGAAAAACGAGGATGCAGTCTTCTCTGCTGTTCTGTGCTCTCACTGCCCCACCCAGTCCATCTTCGAGTGCCCCAGGAGGAAGGTGTTGCAATAGTTTTTTTCCAGGCAGGCAGAGCAAGAAGGGGACGTTCAGTCCCAGGAGTTGTGGCCGGAAAAGCAGCTGTTGCATCACAACTGAATGATCCTTTCTCTCTCTATATATATATATTTCAAGAAGGAAAGCCTCTTGCTGCTAAGAGACAAAATCGTCCAGCCTGCCAGCCGTCTCCTGGGTCCTTCCCCCTGGTTGCAGCGATGTCTCATTCCTCCACCCACCCACCTCACACCCTTCTGCACCACCAACACCCGGCTCTGGCCGCGGGTTGCAGAGGAAACCGCAAGGGAACAGCCTGTCCCCAAACGGCTCGGCTGCACCTCTTCAGCCTGCTCCCTGCCTCCCCTTCCGAATGCTTTGGGCTTGCAAGCCAAAAGCGCCTGTGAGCTATTGGAAAAAGGCACCTCCTGCCAAGCCACAGGGCCAGAGCTGTGTCAGCAAGCTGGGAAAAGAGCCTGGTTTGGGCTTTCCGACGGCTCGTTCCCGAAAGGGTGCCAAACGCGGCTTCCGAGATCGCTGGCCAAGTCGGCACGGGGGCAAAGGAGCCTGCCCAGGTTAAAGCATGCTGTCAGTCCACTCTGGGGCTGTTTGGGACCCACCGTGGTCGTTAAAAAGATGGCTGTTCAGGAGGGCTTTTAAAGCCCTATACGGCCTAGGACCCTCATACCTACAGGACCTTTCTGGTATACCCCACGGAGGACCTTAACAATCTGCTAATAATAAGTAAAGGGACCCCTGACCATTAGGTCCAGTCATGGCCGACTCTGGGGTTGCGGCGCTCATCTCGCTTTATTGGCCGAGGGAGCCGGAGTACAGCTTCCGGGTCATGTGGCCAGCATGACGAAGCCACTTCTGGAGAACCAGAGCAGCGCACGGAAACGCCATTTACCTTCCCGCCGGAGCGGTACCTATTTATCTACTTGCACTTTGACGTGCTTTCGAACTGCTAGGTTGGCAGGAGCAGGGACCCAGCAACGGGAGCTCACCCCGTCGCGGGGATTCGAACTGCTGACCTTCTGATCAGCAAGTCCTAGGCTCTATGGTTTAACCCGCAGCACCACCCGTGTCTGCCGCTCTGGGTAGCTTTTAGCATACAGTGGTACCTTGGGATACATACGCTTCAGGTTACATACGCTTCCGGTTACAGACTCCGCTAACCCAGAAATAGTACCTCCGGTTAAGAACTTTGCTTCAGGATGAGAACAGAAATCGTGCGGTGGCAGCAGGAGGCCCCATTAGCTAAAGTAGTGCTTCAGGTTAAGAACAGTTTCAGGTTAAGAACGGACCTCTGGAACAAATTAAGTACTTAACCCGAGGTACCACTGTATATAAAACAGATAATCAAACATTAAACTATTTATTAAAAAAAAAAAAAACCTTCCCTCTACAGGGCAGCCTTCAGATGTCTTCTAAAGGTCGTATGGTTACTTATTTCCTCGGCTCACGGAGTCGTATAACTCCATACCCTCCAACATTTCTCCGATGACAATAGGGATGCCCTAAGGAAAAGCAGGTTCCAGGATCAAATCAGAAACCAGGGTGGTTTTTCTGTGAATCCAGGACTGTCCCTGGAAAATAGGGACATTTGGAGGGTCTGCGTCTTACCTGCAGTGATACGTTTTGCAAGTGAGCCTCGTGCAAATACAGCAACGCCCTTGTGCAATGCACACTTGTGTTGTGCTGCACATACAAGTTTAACGTTCAAAGCATACGGTTCGTTCAGCATCGGCTTATCTTCTTGATATCCATCACCGGGACCTTAATAGTGTCAACGGGTGCGAATATTGTCTGGTTTATGATTAACAGGAAAAAGAGGCCACGCATTCCTTTTATATCCCGTGCAAAGTTCAGTCCTAGTCTGTGACTGAGCAGGTCCTGAAGGATTCTGGGAAACAAAAGAGGCTTGATCGCCCCGAAGGATTCTGGGAAGTGAACCTGGTACACCGTCCAGGTTGACCCAGAAACAGGCTACTGTCCCCTCTTGACCTGAAGGGGGCAGTGCTGAGCTGGCTGTGTTTCATGTGTGTTTGTGTGTCTTTGTGTTCTTCTCAATGATCTTCCTTGGCATCTTGTGAGACGTTCAGAGGAGATTCTCCTTTTCCTCACACATAAGTCTCCTTTACACTCCTCCCATCGCCAGCAGAGAACTTGCAGCTGGAGGCACTTGGAATAATACATTTTCTTCAGTTTATTTTGAGCGTCAATAGCACACGCTCCTTTTCGGGTATTCAATTCCCAGAAAAGCGGCTCATAAATCAGCCGGTTTTCTGCAAGGCTGAACTGCCAACCTGTAGCGTGGGCTATGTGTTTATTTCTTCCAGTTATTTAGTCTGGGGACAAGCTCTCACAATGCGAAGCCTGGAGAGAAATCTCTTTTAAGTTTGCAAGAGATATTTTTCCTCCGTCGCTCACAATACAGTGGGATCACGGTTAGCAGCTATCAATAGCCCTTTCATCCTCCATTAATTTGTCTAATCCTATTTAAAAGCCATCCCAGTTGGTGGCCATTTCTTTATTTACTTATTAAATTTATATACTGCTGTTCATCACCAGATCCTGGGGGGGAGGGGGGTTTAAAATACAAGATTAAAAAAAAAACCTGTCTTCCTCATTGGATATTTATTAAACTGTTGCAACAGGGTGCTCCCTCCATATGCAGGAGGGAGGAGAGGAACCCAGAACAATGGTGCGCAAGCCCTTATATGTTGTTGTTGTTTAGTCGTTTAGACGTGTCCGCCTCTTTGTGACCCCACGGACCAGAGCATGCCAGGCATTCCTGTCT